ACACAGACTGGGGCTATCAGATCCAAATCTCATCAGTGCTGAATAGCTGGGTACCTGCCAGAGAGAGAAGCTCCATTGAGTTGTAAATGGGATTTTCAAACACAGTTGGAGAGCACAGATTTATCCTCCTTCATACTGGGAGACCTGCAGCATGTGCTTGCTGCATTGCAGGCCTACACTGCAGCACCAATATGTCTCACTGTGTTGTGCACTTGCTTCTTCATGGCTTGTTAGGACTGATCCTGAATACAGAAAACACAGTGTTCATCTGAAAAGCAGTCCTTGACAGCAGCCACCTTGAGACCGCCTCTCACTGCGACGCCTAGTTTGGCCACATAAATGGCTGTTTAGCAGCTCTAACCCTCTGCAACTTCCCCTGTTGAGCTCATATCACAAAATCTCCCACCTCTGAGACAACCCCTTCCCTCTTTTCAAAGAAACAGTGGCTTTCTTCCTTCAGGGTGACTCTAATGGAGGAAAAGCATCTGTAAGGAGCAGCTTTAAGTGTTCTCATCAGTAAAATAGATAGAGACTTGCTAACTACTCTTAGTTGATCGCTGTGGTAGCTGGTGTCTAACAGAGAGTTCACAAGTTCATTTGGTGAGTGTTCTCCACAGACCTCTTGCCCAATAGACCCTGGTCCACAGCAGGAAGCTCCAGCACTGCTGAAACTCAACTATTTAGCAGCACTGAGCCCAAGATTAGCTCAGCTGGTTAGAATATGGTGCCAATAACACCGGGGTTGTGGGTGTGAGCCCCATATGGGCCGTTCACATAAGAGGTGGACGCAGTGCCCGCACAGTGATCCCTGTGGGTCACTTCCAACTCAGAATATTCTGTGATTTAGTGTCTGCCTAACCCTGTGGCTCTGCCCAGGCAGTTTTCAAAGTGATAAGACATATTTCTATGTCAGTCTCCAGAAAGGACTACAGCCAGATAAGAGAACTAATGTTTCTGTGCTCTTCAGATAGAGAGGATGGGAGGTTTGTTCATGTCAAAATTACTACAATAGCCTCAAGGTAAAACATGGAGGGGTCTTTTCATATGACCCATCCTATAGGTAACCCACAGTGCAATCTCTAGGCAATATCTGCACTGCAGCTGATAGTGCTTCTGGCAGATAAACTGAATGATGTTACAGTTGTACTCCTCAGCCCAGCCAGTAATTTCTTCTCTCCTGTCTTCTCAAGAAATATACGGTAACCAGATTATCTTCAAGTCTTCCAGACTGCTTTCATATTTAATGGAAATTCAAAAGTTATTGCTGGTATTAAAAAACAGATGCAACTGCATGAGTCTTGATCCCTTTGAAAAACATTCACTTCTGCAGTGGAGGCACAGGTGGGGTGCTGGTGAGGTACAGAACATCTGGCAGAAAAGGCAAGGGAGTATGAGGCAAATTCTCTGGTTTGAGGCCAACTCACCAATTCCTGCTATTCATCCTATTGTTAGCGAATACACAAATTCACAACTGTGTGGCTATTCACATATTCACACTGCTGACGTAATGCCACGTAGGGGCATATGCTCTGTACCATTATTCTCTTTCCTGTACACCTCATCAAACTTATTCAGCCACATACCTGCTCAGAAGGGATCCTGTGGCTACTGTAAAGCTGCTGCTATATGAACTGCATGGTTTTCCATTTAAAAAAGGCTGGCTAGTGAGGTGTTCCTGCTGTAGGAGCAGCTGAGTCCTCACCTCAATTCCTTACCCTTGTCCTTATTTCTAGAACTGTCTTTCCCATGCATCTCAACATATTTCGGCATCTGCAAAGTGCAGGCCTTGGGTGTGCAAGATGTCATACCCACTTCTTTCAAGTTTAAGGCTTAAAAACTGAAAATTAAATATTGTGGATTGCATTTACAGGAGTATAATTCCAACAGGATCCCTTGCAAGTCCAGTTGGCATTATTCCAGGAAGCCATGGTAGCAACTGCTGGGTTGTGCTGTGTGGAAACAGGTCTGGCCCTGAATAACAGAAGGAAAAAGTGATGATGAAGTTCTGTGTCATGCACAAAATGTAATGGAAATCAAATATCAATACTGTGGATTTTGCTTCTTCAGTAAAAAAGAGAATATAATTATATCCTTGGCTTATGGATAATAGAAGTTTGGTGACATTTTTTTTTTATTTTAATCAAAAAAGTCCCCACATTTACCCACTGTTTCCAAAGCCTCTAGTAACTCACACCAACAGTGAGAGAAAGAAGGTAATGACCCTGCAAATTTCCTTGCAGAAAAGAGAGGAGGCTTGGTATAAACTTGCAACAAACATCTCCCAATCACACAAAAAACCAAACACGAGGGTTCTCATGGGTGTGCAAGACTTTTAAGGCCTATATAATCCATCTTAATGAAGAAATATCACAAATTTGATTTAGACTGGCTCAGGATTAGCTATTTGATTAAAGCAAATGCTCTGTTTACTCTGGGATAATCATTGAGTCTTTCCTTGCCCACTTACTCTCATTCTCTCCCTGTTCAGGACGTCTGCTCACACAGAAACAGACACATAATGGGAAATTTAGCGAGTGGAAACTACTCCACAGAGTTCCCCAAATGCCTTGTTCTAGAGTGAAGGAAGTGAAGTGCCCATGTGTTCCAGGGAAAGTGGATAAAATTCCTATCAGTGACTTTGAAGGATCTTCAATGATAAGAGTATCTGACCCATTTTCTGGGCTTACATGTCAGACAAGGATCATGCTCCTCCATTCCTCCTGCAGATGGATTTGGGGTACAGAGCAGTATTCTAGGAAATGACACCTGTTTGGAACTAGACATCACAAAGGAACAATAGTCCCAGTCTCCAATCACAGATTTTTCCACAGCACAAAAATTTCCAAGGGAAAAAAACCACAGGTATATCCATCTAGAGGAGTTTGCTGTTGTTTGGCTGTTTTGGGGGGGAAGGAGCTTTTTGATGGGATTTTTGGTGTCATGTTCTTTGTGCTTTTTACATAATTGTACCCAGCACTATTAATACTACTACTCATCAGTGAGTACTCTGTTACTTCCCAGGAGAAAAGAACTGGAGAAATTTCCTCAACAAAATCATAAGAAGGGCAATAGAAAAATATAAAACTTGGTGTGGAGGAGCTGCAAACGATCGATTTTACGGAAAGAAGGAGAGGCGGGGGGAAAGGCGGGGAAAAATGCGTCCTCCGAAGAGGCAAGCTGTGCTCCAGCACCGGGAATTACCGTCTGGTGCCCTCTAGTGCCATCACCGAATTAAGGTGGCATTGCGACTCCACAGCTACACAGCACCACGGCTCAGTGCAGTCGCTACCTCTGCTAGTCACCGTCCCCACTCACATCAAATGCTGTCCAAGGGCTGCTCATGATGCCCCAGGAGCTTCCTTAAAGTGAGGAAAGAATCTGCGCTTCAGCAAGATCCCCCCAAATCACTCACAGTAGGCCCTTTGCAACTCAAATCAAAAGGCCACTGTGAGCACACCAGGAAGCCAAAGGAGATGTGATGGAGGTCCTGCAGGACCTGAACCCCTTTCTGGTTCATCATGTGGTAAGGATCTGGTGACGAGGGTCCCAACCATGCCCTTCTTGCATGTTAGAGGACCAGATTATAGGCTTGGGAAGGCACTCTTCCAGAGTCTCTCAGTGAGGTAGAAACTGTAGACCACAGTTCTTCAGGAGAAAGGGAGGCCTGAAAATACCCAATTGAGTCTCTACCTGTGTCACAGTCATGGGACAGGCTACTATGTCAGCTCAAAAAAAAAAAAAAAGAAAAGGAGGGGGAGGAGGCAAAACCCTCTCAATACTGTCCTTCTCATTCTGTCTCAATGTTTTCCATGGGGTTTGGAGTATGATTCAGCAGATTGGACTTTACTTGAGGCAGTCTTTGGTCAAAAAGGAGCAGGATTCATTGCTGGGGCAAGTGAAAGGCAACCATCACCTTCCTGTTCACCTGTGATAGCAGAAATAGAAACATTACTCACAGCATTCTGGTATTCTCAAGTAATCTTAGAGAAGTCCTAGAGAATCAGATAAGGGATATATCTCAAGCAAACAAAAACTTTGTTTCTGCTGCTTTTCGGTATCACTTGAAGCAAATGCACACACACAGACTGAGATCCACCCCTTCTAAACTCTTCAGGGAGGCAACGGTTCATCTCCCAGTCTCCTGAATCTGTCAGCTGGTTCTTTCAGCTAGACCACAAATCTGGCAACTGAGCCCTGTCTCCAGTTTTTCGAGCTTCTCAGCATGGGCCAACACTCCCTAGAGAGCACCGCTCTGGAAACCAAGTACTGACACTGGGGAATCCAATCCTAGAACTGAAAAGTTCTGCAAGCCAGAGAGACAAAATACCTCTATCCTCATGTTTCCCTTGGTTTCTGCAGAGCACCTAGAGAAAACCTCATCATCTCTGAACCTAACACAGCCCTTTCCTCTTGTCATAACACCTTCTGTAAATGTAGGGCACGATGTTCTCCTCTGCCATCAAAACCAAAATCTTCTCCTACTGGCTTTGCTCCACTCAGTCCCCTTGGGTAGGTAGCCCTAAAACTTTTGTGTGACTTTCACCCAAACCCCACATCTCCACATCAGGAGAAGCAAGACACTGGACTCATCATCTCTGTCAGGCTTCTCCTCATGAAGATGCACATACACAAGCCAAGGCCTACATCCACAGGGCTCATTGCCCATCTCTTGGGGATTAAGTTTCCCCCTCAGTCTTAAAGCACATGACTGTTACACTCCTCACCCCCACACCATTTCCCAGTGTTATGTCACACATACCTGCCTACGCTTCTGCACAACCCCTGAGGATCACAAAGCAGAAGTCCCTGTCTAATGCAAGGCTGGTGCTGCTATCACCAAGCCAGAGCTTTGTGGCTGGGCTTCGATGTATGTGGTCATCAGCAGGAGGCAAAGTCGGCGTCAGAGCTGGGATGACTCAGAAGTTTTAGGGTGATTTTTTTTTCTTTCCCCCACAGCCAATAAGAGCACTCACAGAGGCATAACTTCTCCAGCAGGAAGTAGGGCAGTCACTCCCCTGGCTGAACTGGTGGAGATGGCAGTGAACTTCATCTACAGTTGTATTGCACTTTGCTGCTTAACACTCTGGAGCTTCAACGGGATTTCAGGTGGTAAGAGTGGAAAATAACTGCTGTTTTCCTTGTGTTTTAGGTTCTGTGAGGGCTGCTACCTCATGCACTGGTCAATAACAGCCCTTCTCCAACTGCTGTCCATGCTCAGTTCAGACCGCAGCTGAAAATCTAACTGTTTAAAAGATTTTCCTTGTACTTAAGCCTGCTCTCTCCATGGATATCATTTATGGATTTTAAAGTCAACTTACAGTTTTAACTCATTTTGTCAGTGTTTAAACTCTGCATGACCTTAAATACTAAATCTAAAGATTGTGAGTAACAACTTGATTGCTAAGTACAGATGGGCACTTGAGTGCCGATTAGCCGACTCTAATGAAGCATTTTTCTGTATCGTTTCTTTCTCTGCTGAGCAAGGAAATTCTTAATTGCAGCTGCCCTTAAATCTTTAGAATGGGAGCTGCAGGCAGGCGTGTTTTTCTCTGAAGGTTTTAGTTGACTTCAGTTTCACTTTGCCTCCCATATACAGAAAATACTGATGCACTCGGAGACGGTGTTTGGTTAGCCAGGAGATTTTTGTTTCTGCTGTGGTTTCCTTTAGGTGTTGCAGAGGCATGCAGGAACTCTGCTGCATCTTAAGTGTAAAGATAAGGTCTAGCCTTGCTTCTAGTAATGGGGAAGAGGTTTTGAAAGTACCTGATGGGAAAAAAAAAATCAACTTGTTTCGATCTGCCTATTTGTTTCACTGCAGACAGAGAGAGCATCTACAGGATTGCTCTCTCATACTGCAGAAACAAGGTCTCAAAAGTATTACTTAAGGAAGAAAACACAAGAGAGGTCCTCTTAATACAACATTCAGCTCATCTCTGCAAGAACAGTCCTTGCTTGCTTTATAACAGGGATTGCCTGTTAAGTTTGAGGAAGAAAAGAATCTAACCCTACTATCATCCACCAGGAGGAACAGGAAGAGGGCTGGCTTCTCGCTCTTTCTCTCTCTTTTCACATTTACAAATCTAGAAGCAAGGATGGAGTCTGAAACATTTATGCTCTGGCCCTAAGCATCTACTGGTAGAGCTGCAAGAGTTTTCTGCCCAAGTCATGAGATGACATCCTCTGGACCTCTAAGTATTGTAGGTGCCTGTCCAGGTCATGCAGTACCTCTGCTCCTGCCCAGGCCTGGATTACAAGCATTTCAGCAATACTGCAGATGCAATGCAAAGCAGAGCCCTGCACTGCTATCTGATCCTCTGAGCCATTCTGCCTTGTGCCTGGAGCTGGGCCATCACCTTACACAAATTCAACTTTTTCAGGTAATGGCTCAAAGGACACCCTCTCTTTTGTCAGCACATACAATGAGGGCATCTTCCCCTCACCCTGATCACCATCTAAATGCTTCTAACATAACCTCAAGATGCCATCAAAGGCTTAAGGGTAGTGTGGGTGAGAAAGAACTTATATCTGAAAGATAAGATACACAAACTAAGAGCAGCAGGGCGCTCTAGCCAGTGTTTGATATGTTACCAAAACTACACTGTACTCAGAACACCACGATCTATATTTAGATTCAAAGTCAGTTCTTCTATAAGTTGGGAGTTGTACCAGAGACTTTTAAATAATATTTGTGATACTCTGGCTTCTTCTAGAGTCAGTTTGAGCTCTGCTGTCACTTCTGGCAGCAGCTCTTTATGTCACTTCATTCCACCAGACTGTTTCACCATTTCAAACATAGAAAGGAAAATTACTTTTAATTGATGTGAGCAGAGTCCTTCTGAAGCACAAATGCATTGGACAAGCAAGAGGGTTAAGAGGGCTAAAGGTCCCACCCTTTCAGCCAGCTGGTGTGCTTTACAGTCATGTTTTGTGTTTTTTCAGATACACACGTACCACCACCTCATTCAACCATGAAACCTGGCTCCCCTATCCCAGTGAACATCAACAGCCCTGGCGTTCGCAAGGCAGCTCGCTTTGGGGTTTATAGATACAACAACAGTTCCAATGACCTCTTTCTGTTTAAGGATTCACAAATAAACAAAGCCATGGTACAGGTAAGAAGAGCAGACCTCTGGTGCCCCTTCAACCCATTTTGTAATTGACCCTCCCATGGCACACCCAAGACATGGCAGCCCTGATCCTCCTCAGGACTGCTATGAATGCCTAAAGCTGTCCCGCTATCGCCTGCCACGCAGGAGGGCTCTGTGTAGGTGACATACAATTCTCAGATGTAGCACTTGATTCCTAGCCAAAATTTTAGCATCTCTTTCCCCTGCCCTGACTTTAATGGAGGAAATTACTTTCTCTAGATTGTCAGAGGGCTGAAATACATGCTCCATGTGGAAATCAAACGCACTGAGTGCGAGAAGAGGGAGCACCCCAGCCTGGACAGCTGTCACTTCCAGAGGAAAAAAAACCTGCAACAGGTGTGTCCAATTCCTTTGAGGTATTCAGTAACTGCTAGAGTAACTGGAGGTGATTCTTGGCCATCTCTAACTGTATAATCACCTTCAGACCAGCTCTGCCAAGTCCCCATAGATGTACAAGCCTCTTCTTTGCAGAGCCAGCCAGGGTGAGGTAGGATTATCACCACTCAAGCATCCAGGGCCAGCTCCTGTCTGCAAGGAGTTGAACTGGACACATCTACCTAGCCCATATCCCTGGGTAAAAGTGTGCAGAAATACAGTAGGTGCTAAATCGAGGTTTTCTGGGTGGGGGAAATCTTTACACAGGCTTTCCTGCTAGACATCATTACTTAGCAAACAGTACTTTTCCTGGGATAAAGCGGGCAGACAAAAAGATGCTCCTGCCCCATCATGGCCTGCAATGCTGAGACCAACCCACAGACACCTGAACTTTCTCACGAATTCTCCTTTTATTTGCAGATGCTGAGATGCTATTTTGAGGTCTGGATAACACCTTGGTTACAGAAAGTACATGTCCCTGTTGTTCACTGTCACCAGTAGCTTTCTCCATGAGAGCCTGATTTACAGGGGATCTACCACCATGAGTTTTTCCTTACCTGGACTGTCGACATCAATACTGAAGTGGAGAATGTACAGAACCACCCCAGAGCTTCTCTCTCAAAGTACTTGGTCCTTTTTTCCTTGAGAAAGATGCTCAAAAGTAACAAAGACCTGCCTTGACTGAATGTATTGCTATCCAGTTGTGTATCTCTTTTTCCAAAACTAAAGTGCACATGACACATATTGTCATTGATTCAATAACGAGCCATCCACGCTCTGGCTGCATTTTCAAGCACACCCAGGAACTTGGTTTATTCTGTAATAACCTTCACAAAGCCATGATGGAAGCAAGCCTAAACCACAGCATGTGTGACTACGACACCAAGGAAAGCTTTACAACAGTGGGATAGTTTGCCTGGGTATGCACATATGCACAGGTTTTAAGAGTCTCCTGTGCTAGGGAAAAGGTTAAGACATATCTGTCAGGAATGCAAGAGGTAAACAGAAGTTCTTTTTTCAAGACAGAAGTACGGATAAGGATGTCTTGAAACACAGACAGCCCAGAAATTACACAGTCTAACTAGTGCATCTAGTTTAATCAAATGCTAATCTACCCTATGAAAGGGCATCACTGCAAATGCCAAGATGAATAAACTTAATTTAATTAATTAATCATATTCCCAAAGCATAATGCTGCTGAGGTTAAACAACATAGTTTCACGTAGGTTAATACATGACATTTAATCTCTGGCAGACCACAGATTATATTCAGGTTCAGCAGACTGATGGTCTTCTCTGCGTGGGCATTTACCATTCCTTCAGCCTTCACTCTTCATCCATGGGCCAATTATTGCTTACACTGGACTAATGTCCTTATTAGCAAGGATTTGGGTAGCTGTTCCCTTAAAACAGCAATGAAGTATGAGCCCATGTTCAGTCATACACAGACCAGCAATTCTAAATGGAAAGGGCCCTGACCTTTCCACAAAGAGTATGTTTTTTTCCCCACAAACACTCCTTTTCTTCTGAGAGTTGTTGTCTTTCTGCAGCAATATTACAACTCCTATTAGCAGTAACAATTTTAGCCTTTGTTGTAACAACCACTCAGTCAAGAAAGGCCAGTGAAGGGCTCTAGGCCAAGGTCTGGGGGTCTTAAGATGATCTATTAACAGCATAGCTGAGGTCTCTGCTCCAAGTAATCCCAAAGCAAACCTTTCCAAGCTGGACAAGAGTCAAGTCCTGCTTCAGAAACATTATTTGTGATGAGCAGGTGACCCACCAGCAGGTCAAATTCAGCATTCAGTGCTAGAGAGGCAGCTGTGCTGCATCTTGTCTTTAGGGACAGCAGTCTCTTGTCTGGAAAAAAAAACAATGCTCAAAAGAAAGCTCCTGAAGGGTCATGAAAGGATGTAGTTTAGTGCTACATTCACCCAACAAACAAGCCACCACTGACAGCCTGGTGCCAAAGACAAGGAGAAAGAAAGCCAACTATAGTGGCTTGAGTTGTTCAGGAAGCAGGAAAGCCAAGCCACAGCTAAGTTTGTAGGAAGGCAAGAAGACAGGAGTGCTCTCCGAATCTCAAAGGCATTAGTATCTTGATTAGAAGACAAATATTGGGAGGCAAACTGCAATAAAATTAATTCCCTCCCCTTTTTATTCACATCCCCTCCCTAATACAGAGAGACAAAAAAAAAAAATGCGAGGAGGTTTTAAGTGAAAAAAATAACAGTTTACTAACAAGAAAAGATAGCGGCACCACATACAAGGGAAATGGCTTACCCACAAAAAAAGGAGTTCACCGCATCAGGCGGTCGCCCGGAAACAACGAGGAAAGAGAATGGTGGAGGGTCCCCCCTGCCAATCACTCCTGTCCACCCCACCAAACAAAAGAAAACAATGGGAGAACAGCGGCAAAAGCAAAAAAACAGGAGAACTGTGCTGCTCACAGGAGCCACACCACCAAACTGGCCACACCACCCGGTTTAGTCTACTAAACTAAAACTGCAGCGGTGGTACCATTCAGTCTCCTTCTTCCCTGCCACGTGTTACCCCCGACACAGTGCCTTGGCCCGCCTGGCTTGACTGGGCTGTGTAGAGGCTGCAGGGGCTCGGGCACAGGCAGCGATTCCTCGTGGCAAGTGAACAGCAGCAGTTCCCAGTGGCGCTCTGGCGGTGGCGGCCCCGGGCACACTCTGGCTGCGCTGGTGGGACTGTGGCAGGGTGGCAGTCGGGGCGGCGGCGACCCCTGGGCTGCTTCGATTCCAGCACGACACGGCGAGTCAGTGGCTCCCAGCTTTGCTGCTGTCCCAGCAAGGCAGAGACGGTTTCTTGCCATGGCTGAGACCCTGGATCAACTCTTTCCCCAAAGTAAAACGCCCCCCGCTCCTCGAACGCGGCATGCCCCTTTCAGATGATGTAATGGTATGAATACTCATTGCTATAGCTCCCGTCCCTCGCTTGCAACCAGAACAGTTAGGAATGGTCTCAATCCCCTTTTCACTTCAGCTGGGTGCTTCACACAGTGCCAAGGGTTTCCAACCAGGCTGTTGGCTCTACATAGTCTAGCCCAGGAGGGTCTGAACAGATTCATGTCTCTTCCTTCAGCTAGCAGGACAATAACACACTTCCATGCACCTTTCACATGCCACAGTGGGGGCAAAAAGGCAGCACACTGTTGGCTCAGGTCTGTGCAGACATATGCAGGCAGTAAGCACACCACAGAACAGTGTCCCATGTGTGACTCTTCAATTCCCTGGCACAAGGGGCTTTGTCTCAATCTCCTCACTAAGCCAATCCTCCATTTGTCAGAACAACAAAAGTTAAAGCCAAGTGAACTTTACAGAATCACAGAATATGCTGAGTTGGAAGGGACCCACCAGGATCACTGAGTCCAAATCCTGGCCCTGCACAGGACCATCCCCAAGAGTCACACCATGTGCCTGAGAGTATTGTTCAAATTCTTCTTGAACTCTGTCAGGCTTGGTCCTGTGACCACTTCCCTGGGGAGCCTGTTCCAGCGCCCAACCACCCTCTGGGTAAAGAACCTTTGTCTAATGCCCAACTAAACCTCCCCTGGCACAACCTCAGGCCATGCCCTTGGGTCCTGTCACTGGTCACCACAGAGATCACTGTCTAACCATCCTCTTCCTCTCAGGAGGAACTTCTAGGCTGTGATGAGGTCTCCCCTCAGTCTCCTCTTCTTCAGGATGAACAGACCAAGTGACCTCAACCACTCCTCATACAGGTCCCCCTCAAGGCCCTTCACGATCTTTGTTGCCCTCCTTTGGATGATCTCTAATAGCTTAAGAATGTTCTCTAATAACTTGGCATCATGAAGGCTGACAAACCCAACATGATCTTGTTGTGCTCTCCAGGAAAATGCAGCAAGACAGTTTGGGCCACTCTATCCAAGCAGACGAGCACCTTCTGAGAAAGACAGGTCAGCTTTATGTTTAAAGCTGCATCAAAATATTCCCTGTAACAGCATCCATCATCCCCCCAGGCAGATAAAAGAACTTTCATGAGCACCAAAGAAAGGAGCACAGCTAAAGTCAACTAATATCTCTGCACCCCTCCAGAGCACTTCACTGAGGAAAGATTTGGGAAATTATGAGGACACTGCTAGCCCTGACCTAAAGAACTAGAGCTAAATACCATTTAATCACAATGACATGCAGCAGTCAAAAAGCCAATGTCTCTGCCCTCTGCATCTTTGATAGAATTTCTACCAAGGTTAGCTGTTCACCAATTCACTCCAAGGCATTCACACCCCTGCAGAGCTTGCCAAGGCTTTGACATCTCTTCCAGGTTACAATGGCAATTGAATAAAAATATTTCCAGTAAATATATAGGGTATAAGGTGAAAAGGAAAACTCATTCTTGCTAGCCCTGGTTGTTGGAGAAAAAAGGAACAATCCCAGCAGTAACATTAAGAGCTTGTAAACAACTAAAGCTGATGCTTCTGAAGTATGGATTCATGCCACCAGTCTGCTGACTGACAGACTTCACTTTACATTCTCTTCACATCAGTAGCTCTACATCAAGGACTTGGAAGTCCTGCCTATACCAGGTACACCCCATTTCACAACCTGACTGACTTTCAGAACCCACTTACAGCTGGGGGAGTCACACGTGCAGTGCACAGAACCAAGACAAGGTTTAACTGGCAGCAGCTAGATAAGGAGACATGACTGCTGCTGGCTACAAGGAAAAAGCCTTGTATATAGCTAATTACAATCACTTACTGTGAATTTTTCAGTCCCTACCTCAGACAAATTAGCAAAAACTAGCTGTCTTATGTGCTTATTTGCAGCTAAATAAGAAGGCCCAAGTGTCAGCATCATTAGATCTCTTTTGTGATCACTGAACAGACAGACCTAGAGGTCATTGTCTCACCTGCAAAGGTCACTGACACAAAGCAGACACAAATTTAAAGGAATTAGATTTATGCCAAGGCTTTGCAATCACTTTCATCAGCTGTTTACACTGAGAAACCAACTTTTGTGTAAAAGTGTCAGGGGCATACATGAGTTATCTTTCAGCAGCTCTACTAAAGGAGAAGTTTGCTACAGAAAAGAGACAGGGCATTTTAAATAGTTTCAGCAAAATCTTCTTGATACTTGTGCACTGCAGGAACATCTTTTCCACCACCCAGGCAAAACAAAACGTATCTTTAATATGTACAGTTGTGGAG